TTTTGTCCGTAATGCCTCAAGGGTGTCAGGAGTATCCGGCGATAGCACGTCATTGGAGAACAAAAGGCGAGCGGCACCTTTAAGATCTCCGTCACAAATTTTGTTCTCGATGAGTTTTTTGCGATTAAAAGGGGCATCATGTTTAATTAGAGGTGCGGGAGAAGGTGAGGAACTTACAGCACAGTTATTCTTTATCTTTTGTGTCAGGGATAAATTCGGTTCATCAGTTTTTATTATGTGTAGTGTACTGTATGAAAATAAAAATAGGTTCTGCCAGTCTTAATTACTATTGCTTATGTAACATTTCTGGATTAATTTTGACAAATGTGTAGCAACAGTTATTCGAGCTCCTCGAGGGATTCTTTTAACAATGGGTATACTATTTTTCAAATGGCTAAGTAATGTATGGAAAGGAGTTGGAGTTGGAGTTCACCACACCTGTGTTGAAGTGGCGAAGTCATTTCTTCACGCTCGTTTTTTTTTTTTTTTGTGTAATAGGAGTAGGGTAAACAGACAGTCATTGGACACTGAATAGTTATTGGACAGTCCCTTTTGATTTGCTAAAAATAAGATAACAACAAATAAAAAGCGACATCTATATCTATTACTTAAATCTATAAGTTCCTAACATTGTTATTGTTCATATATTTTGTAACAGATGGCAGTAGTAAACTGTCAAAAAAAATATTTCCCGGCGGCTGTCACGGAAACGTATAATTGTCTTGAAAAATAATTATTTTTATAAGGTTGAGTCTAGGGTTTTGTTACGATTTTGGCATACTGGTGATTGATATTGTTTTGGCACCTCGGAGATTGGTAAGATATCATACAATTTACATGATAAATGGACGTTTATCTCATAAATGTTATATTTTGAGATTATTTTCACCTGTCCAGTAATTGTATGGGTGGGGGTCTGGTAATGATATCCTCAATCTCCCCAGCTAACTTTTGGTCTAATCTACCTATTACATAATTATATTTGGTATTATCACCAACAATACCCGCTATATAAAACTGAGCTTCCACCTGCCCAAACCATACCGCTGGTTTGTCAGGCCAGAAAGGTGGTAACTTGACAGCTACCTTGCACACCGCTTGCTCTTCATACTTGGGTGTTGATTCTGATGTAGATCCAATATCAGTCAGTTTCTGCTGAAGAGCTGCATTCTCCAGTGTCAGCTGTTGTAATCGCTGTTCTAATTCCCTATCAGCCATTATACCACACGACCAAGCAAGATGAAATAATAAATAAAATTAAAAATTAAAAACTAAGTCAAAAAAATTTGGTAGCTGTGAGAGAGGTGCAGTGGCAGATCACACGGTTAGTATACAGGTAAGCTATACTGTAAACATATAAGTTGTCATATCAAATAGATATAAATATAACAAATAACAATATATGCACAATAATATAGTTGAAGCGTTTTGTAAATGCGACAAATGACTCGTGAAAGGAAAAACCATCCAGACGATCGCGCTGCTGGCGCACTTGGCCCTGGAGCGACACGATTGGGGGCCGCACCTCGTCGTTGCGCCCTCGTCGCTCGTGCTCAACTGGGAGTGCGAGTCCAAAAAGTGGTGTCCGAGTTGTTTTGAATATGGGATAATATATAGTTGCGAAAAAAAATCACGTCGGAAACTTCATATCACGTCGGGAACTTCACATCACGTCGGGGTCACCAATTATGGGATGTGCTATATAGAAACGCTCAAGGAAGAAAAACCTATATATGTCTTCAAAGTCCGTCTGAGTGACGTCTGTTTTCTTCTTTTCTTAGTGTCCTATGCGTATCTACGATTCGCTACAGTACAATTTGAAAAAATCTATTTTTTTTCAGAGCTTTGAGTTTCTATGATGTTTTTTGCGTTCATTTTAAACATTTAAATTCCTTATGACGTACTTTCAATTTCAAGTATCACAGACTATTCTGTCAGTTATTGGACACTGTCCAATAATTGTCACTTACTGTGTCCAATAATAATTGTTTGCTTGCAGGTTGAAGTCTCAAAAATGCCTAAGGGAAAAAAGAAAAATTATGACTCTAATAATATGCTTTTAGCACTCAGGGAATTACAGGAAACGGAAAACTCAAAGATAAGAGAAATTGCCCGAAAATATGACATTCCAAAGTCCACACTGCATTTTAAATTAAAAAATCTTGATCATAGGACTTCCTTCGGACCGCAACCACTTTCAACAAATGATGAAGAGTCTATCTTAGAACTTTGGATTATAAGGTTAATGAAGAAGGGTTTTCCTTTAAAAATTGAAAATTTGAAACGTAGTGTATCCAAATTTCTTGAGGAAAATCCACGGCCAAATCCTTTTAAGGATAATTATCCTGGGGATGGGTGGGTAAAAGTATTTTTAAAAAGACACCCTAACATTGTCCAACGGACTAGTGAAGGAGTTACTCAGTCTAGTGCAAATGTCTCAGAACAAGATATTCGGAAATGGTTTGCTGAGATACACCAGTATTTAGAAGAAATTGGTCTTTTGCAATTGTTGGATGACCCTACTCGAGTATTCAATGGGGATGAAAGTGGTTTTCAGTTGTGCCCAAAAACAGGGAAAGTACTAGCTGTCAAAGGAACTAAAAATGTATACAGTATAGACACTAATAATTCCAAAGAGTCAATTACGGTCATGTTTACGTTCTCAGCTTCTGGAGAAGCTTGTCCACCCATGGTTGTCTACAACTACCAGCGAATTCCACAAAAAAATTCTGATGGGATTCCAAAAGACCGGGGTGTAGGACGAAGTGATAATGGGTGGATGACTTCAGAACTGTTTTTTGAATATATGGGAAATTTTTTACCCATATTTACTACAAAAAGGCGTAGCACTGCCAGTCATATATTTTCTAGATGGACACAAAACCCATCTCACCTACAGTGTAAGTAAATTATGTAAAGAATTGGGCATTGAGCTTATAGCGTTGTACCCAAATGCAACACGCATTCTACAGCCGGCTGACGTAGCTGTTTTTCGGCCGGTTAAGGTGGCATGGAAATATACAGCAAGGACCTGGCTTATGAATAATCCAGGTGAGTCAATAACAAAAGTTCAACAAAATTTCGCTGGTATCCTTGATGAAGCTCTTGAAAAATCTATAAAGCCTGAAACTTTGATCAACGGATTCAAAGCTTGTGGATTGGTGCCTTTTAATCCTGATGCGATTGATTACGAGAAATGTTTGGGCAGCAATAAACATAATCAGACTCAAAATCCCCAACATCAAGAACGTGTTTTATCGTTTTCTCAATTCAGACAAATAGTTGGATCAACGAAACTGGCGCAGTTGGAAACTTACAAAAACTTAGACAGTACTAATGAAGATTTCCAAATTTTACATAGTATTTACGATGCATTTACATCATCATCTTCAAATTCAGAAAGACGTCGTTCACCAATACCTGAAACTTCAATTATAGCACAGGATACTACTCACCAAGCGCTTGAAACTGTTTCAGAGGTCCAAGAGCGAAAACCACTAGACGATTTGATACATATTTCAGATCTACTTGATTTAAACTTATCTCCCATAGAATCCAATGCTAATACTAACAAGGACTTTCAAGATATTCCTTCAGAACTAACTATGGCTACCGAGAACTATGAATGTCAGGAAATGAGATTTGATAATCCAGAGCACCCAAAATTTATTCTTTGCAATAATAATTCGGCTACAGAACAACTTTCACAAGATTTTCAACCAAGTATACCAATGGTTAGTACACCAGTCAAGGAAAATGCTACAAATACTCCTGTGTTGCAAGAACAAGAAAAAGAAAATTTATCTGATGATGTGAGTTTAGTTGAAAAAAGTCCTGCGTTTAAAATTATATCTAACAGTCAATTTGCACCATTTTTGACAATGCTTAAAACACCAGAAAGAAAAGGTAAAAGAAATACAGTGAGGTTTCCATACGCAATAACATCAGACAAGTACAGAAGTATGTTTAAAGAACAAAAAGAGAAAAAAGAATCAGCATTGAAAATAAAAGTAGAAAGAAAGAGAGTAAGAGAAGAAAACAAAATAAAAAAAAACAATAATGTAAAGTCAGGAAAAAAGAAAATAAAGGAAAGAAAAAAACACCTGCAAAATATGTTTAAAACCAACAAAAATCAGCAATCTTTTGTATTGTGATACGAGTATGTGCTCTTCGATATTTCACGTAAAATGTGTTCCTCACAAACACCAAGAAAATGTACCAGAAGACATAACAATAGATCTTTTTGTGTGCCATGTTTGCTATAGTACAGTGTACAATAATGATGATGAGGATGAGATAAGCTTGGAAGAACATTCTAACGATGAAGCTAATAATACCAACGAAGACTTAGAGGCAAAAATCCTATTCGATATGTACCAAAACAAGAAGTTCTGAACTTGTAATTTTTCTTGCAATTTTCCTATTTTATTAATTTATTTTGTGACCAATAAGTTCCAAATAATAATTTTAAGTTGTTACTCTTCTTAAGTTTTTCATAAACTTTATTTTTCAGATTTTATTTCTTTAAATATTTATGATCTCTAACGTTTGAGACTGATTAGAGTTTAGTAATGAATAATTTACATATGACTTAGTTTTCAGAGGTGTTTATATATTTTTTGAATTAAAAAAGCTATTTTTGTGCTAATAATATTATACATAATGTTCTTATAGTGTTTTATTACGTGTTTAACTATAATTTCACTATATTAATTGACTGTCCAATAATTGTTTCCGACCGTCCAATAATTATAATTTTTGTCCAATAACTGTGTTTTTTGTTCATTTTTTTAAATATAATAATATTTTTCAACTGTTCACAAGAAGTAATATAATCACAAGTCACAAGAAGTAAAGTAATAGTTGTTAATTTTATTATTTCCGTTTTAAAACATTGTATTTTGCAAGTGATGAATGTTAAAAGTGTTCAATTATAATAATTTGACATTTTTGAGGTTATGTTGTGATATTTTTGTTTTTGGTTTCCAGTAAAATCAAAAATGCCACGTGGACTAAAAGATCCGGAAATTATACAGTTTTTAGAAGAAGAAGAAGAGGCTATCGATAGTGCATCTGAAAATGAGCAAGATCATGAAGTAATAGTAAGTGACCATGTCACCGAATCGGAGCAAAGCGAAAACGAATCGAATGATCAGTGGAGTAGTGAGGATGAGGTCCCTTTACAAAATTTAGCCAGCTCCTCTCAAAGTCATGATCAATCATTTTACCTCGGAAAAAATAGACTAACAAAATGGTACAAACATCCACCACGCTCCATGGTCAGAACTCAACGTTCTAATATTGTGACAGAAACTGCTGGACCCAAAGGACCCGCTGGAGATATAATGACTTTGAGCGATGCATTTTTGAGTATATTTTCAAGGGAAACCGTAGATCTTATTCTGACTTACACGAACGAATATATAATATCCATTCAAAACAACTTCCAGAGAGAACGTGATTGCAAAGTTGTACGAAGAGTTACTCGCATTCTTTGGACTCCTTTATATGTCGGGAGTGCTTCGATCATCGCATTTGAATTATCAAGATTTATGGGCTGCTGATGGCACCGGAATCGAATTTTTCTCGAACACAATGAGTTGCAAAAGATTCCTTTTTATTCTCAGAAGTTTACGGTTTGATAGCCGAACAACAAGGGAAGTGAGACAATCACTGGATAAACTGGCGGCTATCAGGGACTTCTGCAATTTGATGAATGACAATTTTCAAAAATGTTATAGTATGTCTGAGAATGTTACTATTGATGAGCAGTTACCTGCGTTCCGAGGAAGATTCTGTGGCGTCGTGTATATGCCTAGCAAACCCACCAAATATGGGATCAAACATTTTGCTCTCGTGGACTCCGCAACATACTATCTCCAAAGATTTGAAGTTTACGTTGGAGTGCAACCTGATGGACCATTCAAACTACCCTCTGATACCAAAAGTCTAGTAAAACGATTGATAGAACCTATTTCCGGGACTGGAAGAAATGTTACCATGGACAACTGGTTCACTAGTGTCCCACTGGCCAAATCGCTTTTAGATGAACATACGCTTACCATGGTGGGCACACTGAGAAAAAAACGCAAAAGCGTAACATATACTGAACTGAAATAATTAGCGAATTCCTCTAACTTCTTATCAGTAGTTAACACTTTTCCGTTAACAACAATACCCCTTTCAGCCCTTTGGCTGTTTACAAACTTCCAAAATGACCTAGGGTTATCTATGACGTTCGTTTCAATAACTTTCCGATACGTATCAAATGCCTTAGCAATACCCTACCCTACCTTTACCTCAGCCCTACACAAGCTAAACGCTTGGTAGTCACATTGCAACTTAGTTCTCTTATAACGCTTATGTAGCTTAGCTTTCCGTTTTATTTTACGAATAATTTCATTCACCATTATACCATTCCGGATACGCGTGTTTTGAATGAACATATCCATTAAGGGTTTCTTTTGGCACACAATCGTCAAAGATAGTATTTAAAATATTATAAAGGTTATCTAAACTGGCATCTAAGTCCGAAGAAAATATACTAGACCAGTCTGCTGCTCCTATCCTCGAATACAACATATCGTAATTGGCTTTTTGAAACTTTTGTTTTTTCTTATTACTATACTTATATTAACGTAAAAGTACAAGGAAGTAAGTGGGGGCAAGATGAAAAATGGGGTTCTAAAAATGGGGTTCAACAAACACCAATTTTAACGTATTTTTTGGGTATTTTTATTAAAACCACCAGTTTCTTACGTTCCAAACCCCATTCGAAGCGGGCTGGGCGGCTAGCCCAGAGTGCGTGGAGTGCGTCGATTTGAATAAGTTCTGCGTCGTGATTTTTTCGTAAAATCTTCAAGTGATTACATCTTATCCCGTTTACTGTAACTTTAATTACAAGATAGGTATGACTGTTTCATAGGAATATTTAATTATAGTGTTTGACTACTACTACGAATACCCATATAACACAACGTGTAGCGACGGGCACACGCCGTACTTTTCTACTACTATGTCAATTCCGCGCGTTCCGCGTGACGGCGGCTTTGTATTCAACTGTCTATTTTTGACATGGAGAGAGTTGAAAAACTAATCGAAAGTGTTTGAGCACAGTTTTTGTATGATTTGGGCTATTCCTAATACAAAATTGCGAGCTTGAAATCAGCGATTTGGGAATTAATAGTAAGAAATCTCAAAGAGCTTGTTTCAAAATGCTCGAGAAATCATGCCGAGTGCGGCGGGTCGGCAGACGCGACGCTTGCACGATCATCACGTCCGCAATGTGACACCCGTCGCCGTCCCGTCGGCGCTCCGTCTCCGTCCCGCCCCATCCGCTGTTTGACCAAACCTTTAATCGTTACGATTTCCGAACGAGCCCGCCAATGTGCGGCGTTGCTGTTATCACCGTCGTCTAGTATTCATGAATTTACAATGGTGTTAAAGACTCATTTAAATTCAATTTGTTTGTATGGAAAAATGGGTTTCTTAATTATTTACATGTTCCCAACGCGATCGACACGTCACTCTCACGTCACGTGTGAGTGTCCATGGGCGGCGGTATCACTTAACATTAGGTGAGCCTCTTGCCCGTTGCCTCCTATTACTCAAAAAAAAAGTAAAGAAATTTTTACATAAAGAAATAATATAACATTTATTTTATATATAGCACATATATATAAAATAAATTTAATATTTTATTGGTAAATAATTAATAAAAACATGGCTCTGTATTAGCTTTTCTTGAAATAAAAATAAAAAATATGTTTATCAATATATGGGTATCGCTTATTCCACGTCATTAAATTTGAATCGATAAACATCCCTACTCATCGGGAAAGAAGACAGAGGGTGTAGGCCGAGAGAAAAAGCCGGCGTAAAAAACTCTCGGTACTCTTTTAAAATAGCAAAATCATCAAAAACACTTATTTTAAAACAAATATCGCGAATTAATTAGAAGTAGTCGGTATAGCACTCGTCCCAGGCCATTTTATCTACTAGATAATCGTTTACTTTTAGTAAGCCTTTTTACACACCTTTTCTTTGCATACAAACACCAAAACACCTTTCTATTGTATTCCTTGTTCTTATATGGGAATGATTGTATGCCTCCTCTCGAGGTAAAATCGGAAAAATTGGTCTGAATAAATATGGAGTCAATGCATAGCCTGAATCGCCAAAAACTCGTACTTTGAACTCTCCACTCTCCATTCTTTGTTTAAGTTGACTCTCTCTAAAGATACGGCTGTCGTGAGTACTGCCTCTCCATCGTGCCATGACATCCAGAATACGCAGTGTTGCATCACACACACACTGTGCAATGTACATTTAGGGATACACATCCTTTCTTGTTTATGTAGGATAAACTTTCACCACCAATTCTTATAATTCTAACATGTGTGCAATCAATAGCGCCTCTAAATCAACTTATGGATCTGAACCGTGCAGATACTTACTTTATCCTGTTCACGCATTGTTGCAGGCATTTTTATAAATTTTTGATTTCTCCTAGCGAGGGCTTCTGCTACTCTTCGGCATATTTTTGTGATTGACTGCTGACTAATCTCGTGTAAATCAGCAGCATCGTCTTGAACCTTTAACAAGTATAAAACCAAATTATTTTTTAATAACACATGGCACCGTGCTAAGGAGCAGTATATAAGAAAGTTTTAGGTAATAAGATTACCTCTTGTCGATCCCAAGTCCTTAGAGCGATAAGCACCTTCTCCTCTATTACTGATAGATCTTAAAATAGCCATCCGAGAGTAATAACCGGGTTGCACCAAGTTTGGTATGTTTTGACTTTCCTTGGAGGCGTCAAATGTCCAATCCTATGTATGAGCTGCATATCAATATTTTCTAAATCTCACAAATATCTACTACCTAAAATCTTTCAATCGCGAACTTAATGCAGCTGAGTTTCATCAGCGGACGTCGAGATAGAATATGGAATTCCATCCGTATCACCTTGACGTCCGCGGTACCACAACTAAACGTTTTGCAAGGCAGGTTTTGCCGCGGAACCAGCTGCCCACTGATGTAATTCCAAACCAATTCGACTTAGGGTCCTTCAAGAAAAGAGCGTACCAATTCTTCTAAGGCAGGCAACACACTCTCGAGCCCTGTGGCATTGAGAGTGTCACTTAACATCAGGTGAACCTCCTGGCCGTTTGCCCCTGTTTTTTTTAACTATTATTTATTATTTAGTTAAATTTTTTTTTATTTTTTTTTCGGATTATGGCATTGTCATCGATCTTTGACAGGTGCGCAAAGTTTGAATTAAATCTGTTCGTTTAAAGTGGGTCAAAATCGAGTCCGAAGGAGTCGGTTACATACATACAGGTGAAGCTAATATAAAGCGTGTAAAAAATCAGATCAAATGACGGCATTTTTGCCTTATACACCCATTAAACTAGGCCTCTGCGTTGTTTAAGCATTGTACGATGTATAAGTTTTCCAACAAACAAAACACTTGTTATAACAGCCGTATACATGAGACTTGCTTATTCAGGAATTATTAGTAACATTATTCTTATAACGGGCTTATACGATTTTTTTTTGTAATAGGAGGCAAACGGGCAGGAGGCTCACCTGATGTTAAGTGACACCGCCGCCCATGGACACTCACAATGCCAGAAGGCTCGCAAGTGCGTTGCCGGCCTTTCAAGAATTGGTACGCTCTTTTCTTGAAGGACCCTAAGTCGAATTGGTTCGGAAATACTTCAGTGGGCAGCTGGTTCATATAGTGGTGGTGCGCGGCAAAAACTGCCTTAGAAAACGCTCAGTTGTGGAACGACGGACGTCGAGGTGATACGGATGGTATTTTGTATGGTATCGATCGCTTATACGAGTACTGGGGATAAATAAGGCGCAACTGCGTTTCTCTGTGAATACAAAAGATTTATTTACTAAAGAAATATCTATTAATTTACATTTAATGAAAAATATATATTTACAAATTATTCACTCACCTGTGAATACAAAAGAAACAACATTTAAAGCCTCTATTTTAGGTTTTATAAAATAAAATAATGTAATGAAAAAAATTAAAACATCTTACATCTATTATGTCAAGTGACAAATTAAACATCGTCGATCAGACGGCAAAGAAGAAAAATAAAATATAAAAGAGTTTGTATAGGAAAATATTAAATATTATGTTTTCCTTACATATATTATATGTTGCGGGTACCTCGGCATTGTCAAAGTCGCCTCGGTATAATTTTTGTGATTAAAAATAGAATAAGTGCATAAAATGGTTCAATAAAGGAATTAGAATAAACTCAGCTATCGCCTAGGTACATCATATATCGTGTACAAGCAAGCAAAGATATATGGATACTGTAATTATTCATCCTTCGTTGGGAATGATTGGTCGTCATACTTCGCAACCTGAGTCATAACATAAGAAAGTATATAGTGAAAGTGAAGTGTCTTTTAGAAGTGATTTGTGATAATCAATACTTTGATATAAGACGTAAGAACATTTTTGAATAACTTAAGTTGTGTTATGTTCAATTTATTCGCAACAATAGGCAACTGATTGGCACCTGTCGATAGCTCTTAAAGGTGCGCTTACACGGGTAACTAAAATTGCTCAATTCTAGTCAATACTCGTCAACTATGACGTCACGACTACATCAAGCAATTTACGGCAACGTCAACAAGCATCAATACTGCGCAATACAAAATTGAGCGATATGGCGCAACTTCATCAACTAGGCAATACTGTCCTACACGAGCAATTAAGTATTCGCTCGCTATAGACGACATTGTTCTTGCTGCGGTGGCTTGTAGCGCTTTTCTTTATTATTAATCAGGAACAAAAAAGAAAGAAAAGGAATCGTAGAAGAAAGGCGTATCTGGGTGCGATCATTTTTGGCCGCAATTTTCATTGTGTAAAGAATTAGATGATATATTATTCAAAAACTTTACTAGAATGTCACAAACAGACTTTTAATTACTTTTGAATAAAGTAATTAGAAATTATTATTATTTAGACCTCTCGCTCTCCCCGCGGAAGCAAGACGGCAAGCCGCAAAACAAACAAATGCGAATGAGACATATACAAAAATTGCTAGGAATTTCCAAGTCCATTGGATATTCGTCAATTCGTATCT